ACGCTTTTATATTTAATCAATTTAAAAAGTAAAATAATTTTTAATACAAGATTTAAATGATTAACGAAAAAAATGAATGTCATTGTGGTAAAAGCGTGTGGTGATTGATATCAATGGTCATAATTTTTTTTAGTTCTGTTCGGAAATGTGTAATAATGTAGTACAATCCCCCACGATTTTACCACAATCACATTATTTATATATATATATATATATATAAATTTTCTTGTTAATCATTTTAATCTTATATTAAGAATTATTTTTTTACTTTTTAGTTCGATTAACTATAAAGGCGTGTTTTTTTAAACTATCATTTATTTTTCATTTTTTTGGTTCGATCTACAGTATATAAAAGCGTATTTTTTTAGTTTTTTAAACTATCATTTATTCAGTGATGATTTAATCTTAAATGCGTCATTTTTTAGAATCTGGAACAGCCATTAGCGCTTTTAATTTAGGGTTATAACTTAATCTTTTAGTCACCAAATCTAAAAAGGGGATCTGGAATTAGTCGCCAAATCTGTAAATGTGAAATTGTTAATCTTGATGATCCTGATCAAGACAATCGAATAAAATTATTAAATTATTGCAGGCCATCGGTTCTTTACAAGTGAGCAAAATTTCGAATTAATCTGACCTTTTAAATAGGATAAAAATAGAGTTCAAGACTCCATTATATGCAGATGAAGCTAATAAAAGCGTGTTAAATATTCATATACACTCTATAACAAAAACAGTGGCCCACCAAGAACGAGTTGTTCAATAGAGACAAAAATTGGTGGGTAGAAAGATTAAGTATAGAATAAAAAATAATTAAAATTTTAGAAAAATGCAATCATTTTTTTCAGAGATACATAGTTAGAAAGTAACAAGCCCAATAAGGAGTTGACCCACCTCTAGCCTGGATGCAAGCTGCCACACGACGTGGCATAGAGGGATAAAGTCCCCTAATGGTCTCCTGCGGTATTTCTTGCCAAATTTGCTCCAATTTTAGGGCCAGGTCATCAACATTCCCTGGTAGATGCAGTCACATTCCCATACTATCCCAGACATGCTCGATTGAAGAGGGATATGGTGATCTGGCTGGCCAAGGAAGTGTTTGATAAGCTGTAAGAATAGCAACACGTGTGGTATGTGGTTTGGTATTATCTTGCTGAAAAATAAGGCCAGGATACTGCAAAAGGAACGGTAGGAAAACAGTTCTCAGAATGCCTTCGACGTACCGCTGTGCTGTAAGAGTGCCTCGAATGACGACCAAAAGGGTCTGGTTTCAAAAGAAATGGCACTCCAGACCATAACTCCTTGTTGAGGGCCTGTGTGGTATGTAATAGTGAAAGTAGGATCGGCACGCTGCCCTAGCTATCTAGACACATCTTCGATGATCGTCAGAACACAGATCGAATCGGGATTCATCGTCAAACACTATACGTTCCCCGTCAGCATTATTCCTACCTAATCAATTCAAGCACCACTGTAATCTAGCTCAATAGTGTGCTGGCGTGAAAGGCAGGTGGCGTAGCGATACGAGCGTAAATGTCTCTCTATTAGCCGTCTATGAATGTTCATGGTGAACACTCGTGTGCGCGGCATACGTCTGATGGTTTATAACGATGAATCAAGCTCTGTGACAGTTGATCTGTCAATCAATCTGTACTCCTGATCTGCTGTGGCCCTAGGTCAACCGCTACCATCATGACGCTGAAATCTGCCTCTGTCCTCCCATTCTTGCCAATATCTTCTAATGGCAGCATTGCTTCGACCTATATGACGAGTAATTCTCCGATTTTCCCAACCTCCCTCTTTTATACTCTGACAGTTGCTCGTAATGAGCTCGAACCCTGCGGCGAGGAATTTTTTCAGTTGTTCAAAGGCATCCTAAATTCCAATGCAACAAAAATTTTCACCATCAAATTGAGAATTATTTCTTATAGGCACTTGCTGAGTGCGCAGTTCCGATGCGCTGTAGCTCCATTCGTTGGACACCAAATTTTAATCATTTGCATGTTCGGTCGAAATGTCTTCGGGAACGAAATTTCATTACAATCGGGCAACCCCTTCTTGGTGCGCCGTTGTTTTTTGTTATAGAGTGCAGAGACACATTATTAAGAAATTTCCAATTCTATTTGGATAATAAGAGAATTGCTATCTCTCTCTCTCTCAGAGTGTGTACCGAAAAACAATATTACTTACCAAGTTATGCATAGAAAATAAAATTCATTTCCATCTTGCTTAATGCATCACTATTTCGGTAATGAATACGGATTTGATATAAATAGAATTGAAAGAGTAGAATAAAATCCCCGCCCCTTTTTCACAAACTGTAAGACTAAAAATAGTAACATAATTGTCGAAATACGTATAAGAGCATAATTTCCAGAGAATCTTTATATGTTTAGTAATAGTTCTACGAAAAATAAGATACTTCGAAGTTATTTCTTTCGAGTTACGATCTCATCTAGGCATCACTGGGATATCTTGTTTCTAGCAGTGGATTTCCACTCTACGTGAATGGAATATTTAAAAGGAAATATTGTTTCTAAGAGTAATCACAGATGAGATTTCATCCTTCAGAAAAAGGAAGTAAGAGATTGCTCTTCTTTTTCATCCCTCTCTTTCTTTGATTTCTAAGATTAAGACAGAGTTCTAAACCTGTGGCTCAACAGTTCCTCAAGACCTTGAGGAACGATTTCAGGGGTTGGGAAGATGAAAAAGAACTTTGCCTCTTTTGTCACTCAACAAAAAAATTAATCATCCTTTTTATTTTTCTCATATAGACATGTAAAAAATAGTTGTTTTAGAAAGGCATGTTTCTTGGCAGTTTAATCATATTTAAGAAAAGAAAAAAAAATCACTCTGCTATGTCTCTTGAAGATAATTAATTTTTTAAATAAAAATGTTCGATCTATATTAAACAATTTTGGAGAGGGTTTTCACGCGCATTATTTTTCTGGACGCGTACAGGGACGTCTTAAGACTCATTGAGGAAATATGCCCAGAGAAATTTTAAGAATTTTTGAGGCCTTAGGCCCCTATGCAAAAGTAAGTCCTACCTGAGATCTTTGAAAGTAGACAGTATATAGCATGCATTGTCACACAAATATTTGTACAAATCTTAATTTGAAACAAATAAATGTGTACGACTCACTATCTCAAAAACCTAGGCACAAACCAGCCAGCTCGACTGATGACCGCATTTCGACTAAATGAGTTAAAGGATTGTTCATGATATTAGGTCTAGGCCTGGGTATGGACAAAAGTGTCATCACATAATAAGTCTAACCACTTTTGCCTGTTGACATGCTATTTAAAATTCCCTTTTTTTCTGAGAATATGCCCTAGAATAATATTTGACCATTAAAATTATCCGGATCATGATCTTATTAGGCCAGTGAGTGATGGAATATTAACGTCGCACACTGTTCAGCGACGGACCTTGTAAGTTGAACCATGGTTAAGAGACGAGGGCGACACCTGAGCTGAAACCCCTCTCCTAACTACCACACTACACCAACAGACGTCCCGTTGGTGTGGTGTGGTAGTTTGGAGAGGGGGTGCCAGCTCAGGTGTCGTCCACGTCACTTGACCATGGTTCAAAATTACGTGGTCCGTCGCCAGAAGCCCTCGTGTAGCTGAACAGTGCGACGTTAATATTCACTCACTCACACCAACAGACGTGACGGCCGCGGTAGCCGAGTGGTATAAGAATCGGATCATGGCTTGCCTTGTCACGAGTTCGAGCCCAGTACCACTAAAGACCCACCGTGTAGAGCAGCGATGCACGTTAAACCTGTCGAGAGCTGAAATGTCCACCCGTTGGTGTGGTGTGGTAGTTAGGAGAGGGGTGTTAGCTCAGGTGTCGTCCACGTCGCTTGACCATGGTTCAAAATTACGTGGTCCGTCGTCAAAAGCCCTCGTGTGCAAGCCACTAACAACCAGTCGATGTGTAATGGTTTTAGTCGACACGAGAACATCAAGGGGGTCGTACACATTGTGTAAAATGGCAGCAAAATTGACTTATAGAGCCGTCACTGCTTGTAGATCGATGCGTCAATCCTTGCGTGCTGACGTAGCTCTGGCTGCTTTGGCACTCCCAAACTTGCCAATTTCTTCGTTACAACCATCTCTGCCACAGGCATTACACTGTATCTATATATGGTAGGTATCAGTGAGAAATTTGACATAGGGCCAACCTGCATCCTTCGTAGTCCAATCATCATGTTCCTCGTTGAGTCGTCTGTATACTGGAAAAATTTCCTCAACGATTACTATGACAAAAAGAATGACACAGATATTGCTCAGTCTCTGTAAGTTCCTTTCCATGTATTCTACTCTATGTAGGTCGGGTGAGTGAGTGAGTGAATGTTAACGTCACCCTATTTAGTTACACGAGGGCTTTTGGCAACGGATCTCGTCATTTTGAACCTTGGTGAAGTGACGAGGATAACATCTGAGATGGTACCCCTCTCTTTTAACTTGAAATCTACACGAACGGGAGGACGTTTAACGGGCATCGCCGCCCTACACAGCGGCATTTCAAAGGCACAAGGCTTGAACTCTTGACACGCCTTCCACGAGTTTGTTACCTTGACAACTAGACTACCGCATCCACATTAGTCTGCCAGAATGGAATAGTTATCTCATCATGAAATCTGAAAAAGCATCGCCAAATCCAAAAGGCTTCCTAATCATGGCTACCGCTTACGTTTTCATACGCAATTTTTGAATTCCTCTACTATTATATATATGTATATAGTTCACTCCCCTCTCTCTCTATATATATATATGTATCTTGTTTAAATTTACAAATTGTTAATAAAATATACTTTCTATTCATCCATTCTAGTTCAAATGCATTTTTTAAAACTTGTAGTGGATGACACTGGATGTAAATACAATTTTTTTCAAATAACAATTCATTAATTAAATTAAAAACTAAATAAATAATAACAAAAATAACAGTCCAACATGATACATATATAGAAAGGAAAATAGTTCGTTGTGTCTCTGTGGCGCAATGGACAGCACGTTGGACTTCAAATCCCATAGTCGTGGGTTCGAATCCCACCTGGGATGGCCTAATTTCTGAGAATGTGATTTCTTTTTTACATACTATTTTATCAGAATAATTAAGTTTAATTAATGTATAAACAGTAAAAACAAACACACTAAAATAGTCCAACACCCTATATAGAAAGGAAAATGGAAAATTTCAAGGAAAATCGCTTTCTATTTTGTCACTTAATATTGTGATTCCCTCATATGTATATACATGCTTACATTAATTGTAACTATTTAATAAAAAATAACTAAAATAAAATGTTTCTTTGTTGATCTAAGTAGGAATTGACTTAAATTTTTTTTAAATATTACTTTTTAAAAATTTGAATGAGTTAAGTTTGAAGTACATATATTATATTACATTATAGGACACAAAATATATCATGTGAAAAATGTAGTATTAGATCTTTATTTAGTAAGTTACACCTATTACCACCAGAAGACGCTTTAGATGCGTCGTATTTTTAAGTAGAAACAAAACTCTTGCCTGTTTTAGCTGAACGAATATGTGTGATTGGCTCTTCTGTTCGTAGTCCAGCGCATTGTTCGATTGTAAATAAAATAATCCCGCTAACAATTATTGCACCTGATTTGTATATTCCAGCACTTCCAGGGACAACACAAAAGGTAGGACATTTTCTTTTAATAATAATGCATAGAATAACAATCCTTCTGACAGGATTCGAGAGCGTGTGTGTATAAAATGATACATTTTAAAACTTCTGATTTTATCACATTGATTTGAGAGCATTTAATAGTTATTGCTAACTACGATAGAAACGCCGAACAAATTGTTTGAATCAGTTTAGCAATTGATATATTTTAGCTTCTTAACTAAGGTTGAAAAGAGAAATAAATATAAAAATTGCAGAGAAAGAGAAATAATTAAAGTATTGTAGAAAAAAAGAGAACACAATTATATATAACACCGACCATAACAAAATTGATTACTATATCACAGAAATAAAAAAAACCCCTAACATTCATTATAAAGAGATAAAAGTAAGCATTGAACTTCTAGATGACAAATTTCAATTGATGATGTGTATGATCTTATAAAAATATTTTTGTTGAAGATGCAGGTAAACAATTCATAAGTTTCGGAGATTATAGAGATAAAGTAATTAGATTCAAATGTAAAACTTTGAATTGTTTGATATCTCAGGTTTCAAACGATTCAACAAACCGCACAATTCGTATTCATTCTTTAATACCGAGTTTAACTAAAAAGAATGTACAGTAAGTGCCAAAAGTATTCGTATACCTATACTTTTCGATAACATTTAATGTTTTCGACTGTTAAGAAATAATACATCTGAATTTTGAAACTTTTTTATAATATCTACTACTTGTTTTTATTTGAATAACTTAATCAATTTTTAAAATATAGCATAACTATTTTGATAAATTAATAATCAAAAAGCTACTAAAACTTGTGTTAAAAACGTCTTCGTACACTTAAAAAATATCAGCACAGTTTTAAATAATATTTCTTTCTTAATTTAGCACTTAGTAGGATATCTTTTAACATCCACAGCAACTTTTAAGCTTATCGGTATAAATTTCATCTGCTTTTTGTAATTTCTGCATCGATGTTCTACCTTTCGTTTGTGATTATTGTCTTTATTTTGCGTTTTGTTTTTATATGCCATGTTTTTTTTAAAAATTAAAATTCTCAACAAATATGTTATATTGGTATTAAATCAGGTGATTTGGGAGGTATTTTCAGAATTTGGGGACAGTTATAGGAGATATCAGGGGCGTACATTGAGAGAGAGAGAGAGAGAGAGAGAGAGAGAGAGAGATATATATATATATAGATATATATATATATATATATATATATATATATATATTTTTTATTTTTTTATAAAATTAAAATTCTATATACAAATATATTATATATATATATATATAAATCATATATGATTTATATATATATATTATATATATATATATATATAGAGATAGAGAGAGAGAGATAGAGAGAGAGAGATATAGAGAGAGAGAGAGAGAGAGAGAGAGAGAGAGAGAGAGAGAGAGAGAGAGAGAGAGAGCAGTACGCTTTGGCATCCTTATCTCCTTAAACGAAGTCTCCTCCAGTATAAAAATTTTGGGCTGATAACTTCAAATTGCTCTTTAAATTTTTTAAATGGAGCTCATGACTCGCAATACCATAAAAAATAACTAAATCCTGAAGCCGAATAAGGATTCGATGATCTGTCCATTGATATTACGGAAAAATTACGTCAAATGACGATACCCTTTGCATTAAAAATATTTATATTTTTACTGTCCGTCCCCAAAGTATTTGTATTATAAAAATGTTATTGCGTATATTGTAAAATCTTGCTCTAAACTCTTGAGTATCGTAAAATCCGCCGTATAAAGCGCACCCATACTTTCCAGCTATAATTTTTAATTTCGCCATATAATGCTCACCTCCTTTTCGTGCGAAGAAACCTGAAATTTATATGAGCAATGCCGTTGTTTTGAAGTCATTTATTCGAGGTATTCAAAAACGTAGTATGTTTCTATAACTGCAACCCTTTAAGTTCATATAAGGCGAGTCATTTGTTTGAAATTAAAAGCGTTTCGATATATGCAAAAATCTAATTTTTTCTGTACTCATCTTTTTTTATTTTAATTATCTTTAAAGCTCTCACTTTTTTATACCCGGCTTATAACGCACTCCCAAAAATTTCGGTCTTTTTTTTCTTATTTCTTTGTGTTAAAAGTGCACGTTATACATTGGATTTTACGGTAAATCTTTGAGTAGCTATGCTTGAATATGTGCCGCATTCTTCATGATGCGGACTGATGTATGGTTCTTTTTTGGTTTATTTTTTGGGTTATCTCCGAGAATCGCTAAGTTTTGTACAAAATTTAATGAAATAGCTTTGGATTTCATATAAAATGCAGTAGCATTCAGGTTCTTCTGGAATTTTGTAAAAATGAAATTTCTCGCCGTCCCTTTGTTCTTTTAACCTTTTTCACTCATCGGCAGTCTACCATTGCCTAACAATTTCTTCAAGACGGGGGAAAATTATATGAACATTATTATTGCTTACATATGGGCACCAAACCTTTCCTTTATAGCTTTGTTTCTGCACATAAATTTATAGTCGATATCTTTGGATCATACTTCATAGATTGTTGACAAAGCCTTATAATTCGAGAAATATGATTGCTATAATTCTAAATATATGCCTATCACGTGATTAAAACATTTACTTACTGAAGGGATAACACACCAGTTTTGAATACAAAGAGAAATAACATTTAGAGTTTGTAGTCTGGAATAATTTTCGAGCATTCTCTGATAATCTTGTCAAGAAAACTGTCGAGTAGACATTTACTGTTTACTCAAACGTTGTTCGTAAACTTTTGTGAAGCACAGTAAGCCGACAGGAATGTGTAAATACGAGGAGAATCTTTCCTTAATTTGCAATTCCTGCTTTTCGAGTTATCTCAAAAGAGATGTCATTATGCGAGCACATATAAAAGGCAAATCTGCTTTGAAGATGTCACTTTTGCAGAACACGATATGATGTTTATCTCGTGTCATAGGCAACAATTCAATTGGTAATGGCGCTGCTTCAATCGGATTGAAGGAAAATGCGATTGTGTTTAGATGTGTTCTGTTTACTGCAGGGAATTTTCTGAAAGAATTGATGACATATATTTCTCTCTGAAAAGAATACTGCTAATGTTTTGACAATCAAGAATCACTTATTATAGTTTTGTAATATGAATCATTGTAGCCCTCAAATAACTTCATATTTAATGACATACGTTAATTGATATATATTATCTTCATACTAATACAAAACTAATAATAAAATTAAAAATATTGCTATTTTTTCAATGATTTATTTTTATTTATGATGCAGATTATGTGTTGAAAATAATTGCCATATATGTAATTATTTTTGAGTAATGCAGATGAATTTTGAAACCAATTGTATTAATACATTTTACATTATTTATTAATGCTTATTTTCATAAAATGGCAACAAAATAGATTTTGTTTAATTTTGGTAACGGTATTTTTTTTTCTTCAAAAAAGTTGGAACTTAGTGACGACTAGAAATAAAAAAAAAAAAAAGTTTTTCTATGCACGAATTGTTTTTTTTTAAATTTGTCAACTTATGTTTGTGATATTCCGTAAAGTTTGGTCATATAGTCTTTTACGTTTGCTTCCTAGTGGCACTGTGAAAAAGAGCTTAGAAATTAATATTAATAAGCATATGCAATATTTTCTTATATCAAACTTTTGTAAAATTAAAATCCGTAAGCCAAATGACTAATGAAAACTGAATATTGTGCTTTAGATTATTAACTACAAGCTGAAATGCTGTTTGTTCTTTTATTATAGCATAATTCTTACTTTATGGGTTTTTTTTATCAAATACCCATACATTATTCTTTGTAAAAAATTAAATAAAAAAATGAAGAGCTTTAGCATTTGGTTACAAAACAAATCATATCAAGCACTATCTTTCTTAACAGTATTAATAATTAAATATCTAATTGTTGTAAAATTAAATTTTAATGTTGATCATACATAATTATAATATAAATAATATTAATAACATCACTATATAATATAAAAAATATTAATAACATCACTATAGTATAAAAAAATTAATAACATCACTATAATATAAAAAATAGTTTTCTTTTTATTTTATTTTAGGTTGGGGAAAAAGAAATCCATTATTTTTTCGGTAGATGGCTGTAGTGTCGATATCTCGTTAAGTATCGATCATACAATTCTAAATTTATGCTCGTTATCAAGGTGACATTTCACACTGACTTTTACTGTTTTTTGTTTGGTCCATTCAGTTGTGAGTTACTGGGTGTTAAAAATGGAAGTCAATAAAGAGAAAATTCGGTACATTTTACAGATTTTCTTTGATAAAGGCAAAAATGCTAGCCAGGCGACTGAAATTGTGAATTGTGTTTATTTGTGCCGATATTGTAACAGCTAATCACGTGCAATTTTCGTTACG